AAAGGATGGGGTAAATGGCACCCTGACCCTGTTTGGTCCCAACCAACAAATCTCCCTCTGCCCCAAGGCCCAGCAAAACCTGAATGATGAGGAAAGAGTGGAGGAAAAACATCCTGGTCCCTTCCTGCAGGGGAGGAGGTGAAAACTGGCACAGTCCCTTCTGCTCTCACCGCGGAGCATCCACAGCAGTTGCTTGGGGTTTTCTTACATTTCATCACCACAGTTCTTTTTTTTGTTTGTTTTTGGGTTTTTTTGTTGTTGTTCTTGTTTTTCGGGGTTCTTTTGTTTGGTTTTTTTGGGGTTTTTGGGGGATTTTTTTTTGAGGTTTGATGGCAGTTCACTGCTCTTATTTCATTTTGGTTTTTTGAGCCCAGAATCGAGGTTTGGTGGCTCCCRGAGGTTCTGGCAGCCTTGGGCTGACCCCAGGGGTTGCTGAGTGCTGAGAGGGCCATGGCAGGACCATCACAGGAGCCACTTGGGGCTGGCAAAGCTGGTCAGGGGGCAACCCTGAGTGGGGGAACAGCCCGAAGACCCCAGCCCAGAGCAGGGAAGGGCGAGGAAAGGGCGAGTAAAGGGTGAGGAAGGGATGAGGAAAGGGTGAGAAAAGGGTGAGGAAAGGGTGAGGAAGGGGTGAGGGAGGGTGAGGGAGGGGTGAGGGAAGGGTGAGGAAAGGGTGAGGAAAGGGTGAGGAAAGGGTGAGGGAAGGGTGAGGAAAGGGTGAGGAAAGGGTGAGGAAAGGGTGAGGAAAGGGTGAGGGAAGGGTCAGGCACACCCAGCCCCGCGCTGACGCTGCCCCAAGATTCATTTCCCACTTTTCCCATTTTCGTGCCGCCCCGAGGGCTCTGCTCTCACTCCCGGCTGTACCCGGGCTCATCCCGCTGACCGAGGAGCTCCGGGGGCGGATAAAGGGATTTTCCTCCTGAATTTGGGGCAGCACCGGGGTCTGTCCCCTCCAGTGTCACACAGAGCAGGGCAAACCCCAAAATCCCTGAAGATTTGGGGTCCTCCAGGGCACAGAACTCACTGTGCCCACCCTGTTTTGTTCCAGTGACCATCAGGGATGAKCGGGACCACTCGAACAGCTCGGGGCAGTTCCTGCTGCAGGCTCTGTCCCCTCAGAGCGGCTCCGTGGGGCGGTGGCACGGGGTGAACACCGAGAATTGCAGCTCCGTGGACACGGCGGTGTTAAACATCACCGAGAGCTCGGCCAACTGGACATCTCCGGACAGCAACCTGTCCTCTGTGCTCATCAGGTGAGGGTCCCCGAGTCCTGAATCCCCCCTGTCCTCTGTGCTCATCAGGTGAGGGTCCCCGAGTCCTGAATCCCCCCTGTCCTCTGTGCTCATCAGGTGAGGGTCCCGCGCCCCGAACCCAAAACCGACCCCACCCCCGCTCCTGGGACGGGAAAAACCTCTGGAGCCTTCTCCAGGTGTTCTCCGGGAAACACCGGGAAGAGTTTTGCTGCCAAAAAGCTACCCCGGGGATGCTCTGGGAGTTTCGGGATGCTCTGGGAGTTTCGGGATGCTCTGGAAATTTTGGGATTCTCTGGGAGTTTCGGGATGCTCTGGGAGTTTTGAGATACTCTGGGAGTTTTGGGATGTTCTGGTAATTTCGGGGATGCTCTGGGAATTTCAGGGATGCTCTGGGAATTTTGGGATGCTCTGGGAGATTTGGGATGCTCTGAGAGTTTCAGGGATGCTCTGGGAATTTCGGGATTTGGGATTGTGGATGAATTCCATGGAAATGGCTGCACTGAGCACTCATGGAGTGGGAAATATCTGCCCGGGGGGAGCCGCGCCCTGAGCCTGCTCAGCCTTATCTGGGGAAGGAAGGACGGACAGACAGAGCCCGGGGCTCCTGATGGGAATGGTTSTGATTTTAGGGAGCAGATAATTCCCGGTTAATCCCCCCCTGGTGCAAGGCATCCCCATCCCAGCCAGAGCAGGGCAGGGAAGGATCCACAGGGTGATGCAGAAACAATTTCAGATGTTAAAAATACCCCAAAAAAAGCTGAGTTTGGCTGGAGGGAGCTCAGGATGAGTCCAAAACATCCAGAATGCCCCTGTCCCTCCCCTCGTGACTCCCTCAGCTTCTCTCTCTGGAACTTTCCCCGTCCCTTCCTTCCCCAGGGTTTATCTCAGCCTCGCCGACAACAGCACCGAGCTCAAAACCGTCATGCTGAACACAGGTAAAAAAATGCTCATTTTAAACAGCGGGGGAAGGGGGAAAAGAGGGGAAAAGGAGGGGGAAAGGAGCACTCAGTGTGCCTGGAGCTGCAGGATATCCCGTACCTACTGCAGCCAGGCGAACACAGGCGGTTTGCAGGTTATAAAGTTCAATTTAAAACCTTTTCGAGCTTCCTTTTTGCATTGAAGAACATGAAGCATCTACAGACCAAGGCCTGGCTTCTGAATTTCTGCAGAGAGCGGCACAGGAATGGTTGGGAGTTGTGGTTTTGCCGTCAGGGAGGGTTTTGGTGCTCCACAAAGCCTCAGTCCCGAGTGGGATCAGTGCCCCACTGATGTCAGGGGATTTGTTCATCCATTCCATTCCTCCGCATGGGTTTGACCCCTCATTTCTATGAGATCTGAGCAAACAGGAGCAGCTCTCGACCAATTCTTTGCGTTTCTGACCCATTTTTTTTCCGTTTCAGGAGCAGGGAGCACCTCGGTGCCTCCCACCACACCCAGCTCGGTGAGCGCCGTGCGGAGCAGCTCCTTCTTCATCGCTGCCCTGCAGCTTCCCCTGRTGCTGCTGACGGGCTCCCTGCTCTCCTAAAAAAGCCCAGCAGGGACGGGCACCCGCCTGTGCCACCCTTTCCTCCTTGGCAGAGCGGGGCTGAGCTCATTTACTCAGGAAAAAACCGCGCTCGGGAAATGATTGTAAATTAAAAAGGTTCGTCGGAGCCCCGCGCTGATCGTCCCCTGCTCCCCGCGGAGAGATGAAACACCCCAAAGAGCTGAGATCCCTCTGGGCAGCCAAAAAACGGGCCGGGACCCCCCTGTGCGGGGATCCACGCTCTGCTCATCCCCCCAAGGGTTCTGTGATGCTCAAATCGCCCCAAAAGGGGTCGGTGCCCCCTTCCCAGAGCTGCTGAGGAGCTCCAACAGGGTTGGGGTCTCTGTTTCCTCAGGCTCAGCCCCTCCTGGCACAGCCGAGAGCAGAACCGAGCTTGGGGAGGGAAATCCCGATTAAAAATCACCTGAAAACCTCCAGGGCCAGCCCGGGRAAYGCAGATTTTCTCCCCAAATYTGYRCTGGGRAGGGAGCAGGACCCRCTGGAGATGCTGCTGCCAGGGCATSCTCCTCACCAGGCTTTAGCAATTCATGCTCCGTGTTGTAATTTGGTCCAAAATCCCCTAAATTTTGTTCTTTCAGATGACAAAGATTCTCTTTGTTTTCACTCTGTTGTTTTATTTTATTTGTCTGATTTTCCGGAAAGGCAAGGTGGGCATTGTTTGTTCCTTTTTTTTATTTAAATCAACAGCTGATTTTGCTGTGGGAGGCCAAGATTGCATGAGCCAATGGATGTCTCGATTTTATTGTTATTATTTTTATTTTTATATGGGTAAAATGTTTATTTACAAATTTCCCAGCTTGTGGAAARTAATTTTTGTTTTTCCTTCAACTGATCTAAATAAAATAAGAATAAAACCCTGTTTTTCTTGCACCTTCTGTTATTTCCTGGCTTCGTTGTGGCACTGGGGGGTTGAATTAATTCTGAAATATTTGGCTTTGATCCCAGGGATGAGCACAGAGAGGAACAAACAAAGGTGAGGTCTGAGCTCTGGACAGGGTGACCCCGAGGGGTTTTGGAGGGGTCAGGAACACAYCCCTGCCCCATAAATCCTCTCCTGCTTCCTCTTCAGGAGGCTGAACCCAAACACAGAAACATTTCAGGGGACCAGAGCCTTCAAACTGCCCTGCCCAGCCCAGGGCTGGCCGAGYTCCCTGATTTCTGCTGATAATTCCCTCATTTCTGCTGATAAATCCCCAATTTCTGCTGATAAAACCCTGATTTCTGCTGATAAATCCCTGATTTCTGCCGAATAAATTGTAATTCCCCACTGATTCAAGAGCCTGGGAACAATTTCACACAAGAAAACCACAAAAAAACCTGTCCCTGCCCATTTATGTTGCTCAGGCATTCAGACATCAGATGTGGCTTAAGAATTTAATTTTTTTTTTAAATCTTGAAGAATTGTCTGAAATATTCATAATAAAACCGGGCAGTCGTGATTAAACACCTGCTAAGGCTGGTTTTGCTTTCAGATTGAACTTTCACTCAACTCTTGCTTGTTCAAATGGTACAAAAGCCATGGTTTCCCTCAAAAGAAAAGGCTGATTTTCACTCTCAGTGTAAATTCCCATTGTTCCATCCTAATTTCCAGTAATTTTCCTGTTTCCTGGAGGGGTTGGGGTTGCAAAGCCAGAATTCCCCAGCACAATTTCACTGCTGAAATTTGAACTGCCTGTGCCTGCATTAATGGAATGTTCCTGCAGAATTTTGGAGTATTTTGAATTCTCCTGCAGAATTTTGGAGTATTTTGAATTCTCCTGCAGAATTCTGGAGAATTTGGAATGTTCCTGCAGAATTCCAGGGAAATCCACGTTTTAGGGCCCAGCCATCAAAGCTGTTGTGCAGTCAGAAATAGGACCAGGTTTTATTGCTGCTCCCAGTACACAGCACACCATAAAATCCTAATTAGTGCCATAAATTCCAGCTCAGTCCCAATCTCTTTGTTGACCCATCCATCTCCCAAGATTGCAGCCTCGGATCATAAACATCAAATTGCATTTAATTGTCCCAGTTTATCCAGAGGTGGCTCCTGCTGCTCTGTCCCAGCCATGAGCCCCATCAGTGGTGTTTTAATTCATTTTAACACCTTTCAGCACTAAAAATGAACATTTTCTTTTACACCCCTGTCTGTTTTTCTTGCTAAAAAACGGATTTCATGAACACAGCTCTGCCCACACAGGCAGGAGAGGATCCACCAGATGAGCTCTGAGGGCAAATTCACAGAAATCCCGAGTTCACGTGAGCACAGAGCTGTTACTGGAAGCGCCAAGCTCTTAAAACGTTGATTAATCATTAACAGATGATTACAGAGGGATAAAGCCCCATTAAAATTTTTTCCCACCCTTCCTCTGACTTCCTGCAATCCCCGATGTTTTATTGGCCAACTCGAAAAAATCAGAACAACCCCAACTCTGTTGGATCAAGAAGCAAAACAAAGCCCACGTTTATAATCATCATAAATTAATTCACTGTTTAATCCGAAAAAAAAAAATCAAAAAACCAAAAAACAAAAATAAAAAATCAAAACCTTCTGTGATTTTTTTTTTCAGGCTCCTCTCTCAAAGCTGCTTTATTTACCAGGGTGCAGCTCTGAATTTCTGAAGTGTCTCGRCTTCAAAAAACAGGAAAGTCTTGAGGAAAAGCAGCCAAAACAACCCATTCTGATCACCCAAAGGGGCAAATCGCTGCGACCTTAAGTGCCCCAGGGTGTGGAAAGGCTGCTGGAAATGCTGAGCAGGGCTGGAGGAACGCACAGAGATGATTTGGGGCTGGGGCTGCTCTCATTTCACCAGGATCTCCTCTCCCTTGTAAACCACAACGTTCTGCTCTGTCTCCTGCACCTCCACCTTGTACAGGAGCCCCGGGGGCAGCAGYTGCTGCAGCCGATCCCAAATGAACACAGCCACGTTCTCCGTGGTGCTGGGGGACAGAAATGGCACAAATCACAGAAATTATAGAAATTATAGAAATTACAGAAATTACAATATCTGAGGCTGCTGCAGCCTGTCCCAAATGAACACAGCCACGTTCTCTGTGGTGCTGGGGGGCAGAAATGGCACAGATTACAGAAATTATAGAAATCACAGAAATTACAATATCTGAGGCTGCTTCAGCCTGCCCCACATGAACACAGCCACGTTCTACGTGGTGCTGGGAGGACAGAAAGGGTTAGAAATGGCACAAATTACAGAAATTAAATTACAGCAATATCTGAGGCTGCTGCAGCCCGTCCCAGATGAACACAGCCACGTTCTCCGTGGTGCTGGGGAGACATGAAGCATCAGAAACAGCACAAATTACAAAAATTACAGCGATGTCTGTCAGAGACTGTTCCAGATGTTCGTGGCTTCACTCCCCTCTGCTTTCCAGCTCTCCATCCATTCCCTCTCTCAAAGGGAGAGGCACAAACAGATACCAAGGAGTGTTTGGGCCATGAATTCTTGACAGCAGTGAGTTTTTTTTTTTTTTGCTGTGGTTCTGTATTTGACACCACTGGATAAATGTCTGAAGGTATTCAAGGCAGGGTGGGCTGGGGGCACGCTGAGGGAGAGCTGCCAGCACCTGAATTAAGCAGGGTTTGTGCYATTGGGATTTTTAGTTTCTACATTTCATGCATCTGTATTTTTATACTTCTCTAGTATAGCACTAAAAACTCCCRTTCTCCCACCTTTAGACAAAACAATTCCTCTCTGAGCCTGAATCCAAGGACACCTCAGAGCCCCAAATTATGGAAACAACAGAGAATTGGGGGAGCAAGTTTGGGGTGGGTGACATCATGACCTGAAAATATAATTGAGGGGTTGAGGCACAATCTGTTCATGAGACAGAACTTATGAAAGGTGAAGATCTCATGACTCGGGGTCCATTTTGGGTGTAGCCTCAGCAGGAGGAGGTTTTGTCTGTGGGGGGGCCTGTTAGGCCTGGATTAAAGTTTTTATTCTCATTCTCGTGAGTTTGTCTGGTCTCTGTTTCAGGTGAGCCTGATTTAGGCACCAGTGGGTGACACAGGGTGGAAGGGACAGGTCCAGGGCAAGTCCCACTGTGCTCAGCACACAGGTCCAGCTGCTCCAGGCAGGATTAAACTCTGAGAGCTGCCCCAACCCCTCCAGGAACCCCCAGCACCCACCTCACCACCTCGGAGAAATAGGGCACGTCCTTGTCCAGGTTTTTGTGGTCCAGCGGCTCCATGATCGCTGCCTGCAGAGAGAGGACRGTGACAGCCCTGTCCCTGTGTCACCTGAGGGTCAAAAACCCCACAGAGCCAGGCAGCAGGGTGGGAAAAAGATCCCTAAATCTTGTGAAATTCCCACAACAGAGCTAAAACATTTCAGTCTTCAATTATTCCTTAATTCCTTTTTTCTGCCCTGCCATCACCACCCCACACATCTCCAGATAAGTTACTGAGCTCTGATCGATTCTCCCCATTTGGGGATTTGGAGGAAAGCTGGGCTGGTTTTACCTGCATGAATTCCTTCAGGTCTGTCAGGTTCATCACCATCCCCGAGATTGGGTCAATCTGCAGGGGAAGCAAAAGGGAGATGGGAAAATCTGTGCTCGGGTCACCTGAGCCAGYAGGAAAATGTCCTTCCACTGCCAGGGAGATTCCTGTGATGTTCCCAAGGGTTTGAAACAGCCTGGAAGCAATTCCTGATGTTGCAGGCTCTCCTGAATGCTGGCACCAAGTGGGAACAATTCACTGGAGGGGTCTTCAAGCAGCAAATGTGATTGTGCTGCACTGAGGAACAGAGAAAATGCTGCTGGCACTCACCTGCCCACGCACTGTGACGGTCACTGAAAAAAGGAAAAGATMAGGTCACTGCCATGTCCATGAGCTCAAACCCAAATCTGCTGCTGGGACACAAAATCCCTTCCCTGCTCACCCCAGCACGCAGAATTGGGGCTGTTTTATAAAATGAGGGGATGCTCCATAAAAAAAAAAAAACCACCCCAGAATCACAAAAATCCTTCTCCAGGGTGTGATTGATGCCCCAGCAGGTGGAGGTGAGCCTGGCTTCCCTGACAAAGCAGAGCTTTCACAGGGAGCCACTCCAGGAACTGGAGGGATCTGATTCCAGGGYGCAGGAATAGGAGGACTTGTGAAAACATCATTCAAATAACATTTACAGACTGTTTAATTTGCATTCATTTCACTTGGAAAAYTCTCCATTCAAATCACAGCGATTCGGCAGGGTGTGAACATGCAGATTGCATTCAAAAAGCAGCATTTGATGATAAATATTTATTATAATAATCTATTCAGCTGAAAAGATGGCAAACCCATGCTGTGGTTCAACCCCCTGCTGCTGAAATTTCCTCCTAATTCTTAATAAAAACACAAACAACACAAACAACAAAAACAACAAAAACCCAGCCACAAAAAAACTGTTTTAGACTGCTGGGAATGAGCAGCCCAGCCCTGCTGGGATAATTCCCACYCTGAGAGCAGCATCACCCCACCAAAAAGGCTGGAAGTCACCTCCCCACCTTTGTAGTTGTGTCCGTGGCCGTTGGGGTTGTTGCACTTCCCAAAAACTTTCCGGTTCTCCTCCTCACTCAGGGATTTGCTGTGGGAAAGGAGATGTGGCTGTTCCAGATGTTSGTGGCTTCACTCCCCTCTGCTTTCCAGCTCTCCATCCATTCCCTCTCCCAAATTTAAGCAGCTYTTCCTACTCCAGAGGCACAAACAGACACCGAGGAGTGTTTGRGCCATGAARTGTTGACAGCAGTGAGGKTTTTTTGTTGTGGTTTTGTRTTTGACACCACTGCTGGATAAATGTTCAACATCTGGGCCCAAATCACCTCAGCATATTCGGGTTTATTATTAATTAACAAAGCTCAGGGAGCCTCTCATGAAGAACAAATGATCTCTGAATCTTCCCTTTGAAGCAATCCAAGASTGTTTTGGGTCAAGGCAACATTTTTAGGGAATATCACAGAACCCCAAGATCACTCAGGTTGGAAAAGAGCTGTGAGATCATCGAGTCCAACCTGTGCCARATSCCCAGYGTGTCACCAGCCCAGAGCTCTGAGTGCCACCTCCAGGCACTCCTTGGGCACCTCCAGGGATGGGGACATCCCATTCCGAGGCCTGACCACTCTTTCCATGCMGAAATCCTTCCTGATTTCCAACCCGAGCCTGCCCTGGCACAGACTGAGGCCGTTTCCCTTTGTGCTGTCGCTCGCAGCCTGAAAAATGCGGCCGAGCCTAAAATCTCTTATTTTTTTAAGATTCAGGTGAAGGCGCTGCTGAGAAATAGATCCGTTCCGGAGGGGAAAATGGGCAGATCGGGGGCACAGGGCGATGTTTACAAAACGAAAGCGCCATTGCCCGTGTCGGAACACGGAACTGCAGCCGGGCACTGCCGGATGGCTGCGGGAAGGGGCTGAGCCGGGGAGAGAACGGGAAAGGCAGGGCGGGCACGGAACCGCGGGGCTGATCATCATTCGGGGCTGTTCACCCATTTGGGGCTGATCACCCATTCGGGGTTATCACCCATTCGGGGTTATCACCCATTTGGGGCTGATCACCCATTCGGGGTTATCACCCATTCGGGGTTGTTTCACCCATTCGGGGCCGCTCACCTGTGCAGGCGGTGGCAGGCGCTGAAGGTGACGGAGCGCGACAGCCGCGCCAGGCGGGCGGAACGCGGCGACATCGCGGGGACGGAGCGGGGACGGAGCGGGGCGGCTCCAGCCCGGCCCCGGGGCGGCTCCAGCCCCGCTCCAGCCCCGCTCCAGCCCGGCCCCGGGGCGGCTCCAGCCCGCGGGATCCGCCCGCTGAGTCCCGGGGATGCTCCGGCGCCGCGTTCAGTCCCCGGGATGCTCCAATTCCCCCGTGTACATCCCCGGGATTCTCCAATCCCTCCTTGTTCAGTCCCCGGGATGCTCCAATCCCCCCGCGTTCAGTCCCGGGATGCTCCAATCGCCCCGCGTTGGATTTCGAGATGCTCCAATCCTCCCGCGTTCGGTCCCTGGATTCTCCGACCCCGCCGTGTTCAGCCCCACGATGCTCCGGTCCCCCGTCCCGGTGTCGGGGATGCTCCAATCCCTCCTTGTTCAGCCCCGGGGATGGTTACGGACACACCCGAAGGATTGCACCCCATTAATAACATCCACAGAATTCAGAAGTTCACCCTTAAAGTGCGGAGATTTTCAGAAGGTTCGTGGAGAAGGGGGAGAACCTGGATTTTTTTCAGCTCTGAGGGGGTTTGAATGCGCTTTCCCTTAATCGCTGGGGATTCCTGGGAATGAATCCGGGTGGGAAAACTCCCAGSCTCGGGGCAGAATCTCCGTGAGAGCGGAACGGGGTCAGGAGGAGCTGCTGGGGCGGTGGGAAGAGCTCGGGCAGAGCTTTGAAATCTGAAATTCACACAGCAGGAACCTCTGACACCTTCTCGCTCCCACCTCAGCGAGAAAAAAAGGGTTTAAAAAGAGAACCTGCGGTGCCCGAACTCCTTTAAACGCATCTGAGCATCGTTCTGCTGGCGGTCCCGGGGTGTGAGCTCACCAGGGGACAGGCTGCAGGGGTGACAGGGGTGACAGGGGTGACAGGGGACCCAGGGCCACCTGCGGGCAGGGCTGGAGCCGCACAACGAGAGCTGTTTGCCATCTAGTGGCTTTGCCAGCCCCGGCCTGAGCTTCCTCCGCCTCTCCCGGGGCTCAGCCCTTTTCCTTTGCCGCTTCTTTCCCCAAGACTTGTGAGAAAGGTGGACAAAGGTCAGAGGAGATAAAGTGTTTCAGGCAAAAGGGCTCGTTTTTATCTCGAGGAATTGATGCAAAAACTTCWTCAGGCTTCTCACAATGAAGAAATGGAACCCCTGGAAATCTTCACTTTCCACCCACCCCCCTGCACCCCTGAGTTCAGCAGCTGGAGAAGCCTGGATGGCACAGGGGGCTGGGGTTTGTTCTGCTCTGCTYCACCCCAAAGGGGTACCAAGGCCGTGGTGGAGCTCTCCGTGTTCACTACTGGTTGAACTGGGAGGAGAGCAGGAGCTGCTGGCCAGCAGAGCTCAGGAGATGTGTCCTGCACATCCATGAGACCACGAGAGGGCAGGGAAAGAAAGGAAGAGCTTCCCAAGGTTTTATTGGCGGGCACTGCTATGGTGTACAGAGAAAAGCACAAGCACAGCTCCTGTGGGGTCTGCAGCCACTGAGGGCAGCCCCGATGTTTTCCTGGGGGAAACTGCACCCCTTCACTGCGCCCATCTGGGGGTTCTCCCTCCTCTCTCCTGCTTTACAAACTCCAGCTGAAGTCACAGCCCCGAGTGTCGCTGTCCTCTGCCCCTCAGAGCTGCCACAGGAAGGGGATGCTCACCTCAGCTGCCATTTTCTGCCTTGCAGGCCTGGACCTGGCACTCTCTGTGAGCTCTGCTACAGCTGGGCTAGCAAGATGGTAAAAAAATGGAGATGAAGCTGTGGGAGTGAAGGGCCTCTGCCTTCCCTGGCTGTTTTCATTAGGAACACAGGAAGTTATGGTAGAGAAAAACAGYTCCTTCATCCCAGAAGTGATGGAAATGTGGGAGGTGAAAGCAGCAGAGGTTTTTTCTGAGTCCCAGGAGGTGCCCAGGAGTTCCTCAGTGGGCAGTGAAGATGCCGTGGAATCCGTAAGGCATTGGCACCCCGACCTCTGCTCGGCCCAGCTCCTGGAAGGTCTCGGCATCCAGGACAAGCAGGAAAGCACTTTGGTTCTGCAGGGTGGGGAGAGAGGCAGGATGAGTGTCCAGGCTGGGCTTGTGTCCACTGTGCCCACAGGAGAGCCCCAACCAGACCCTACAGACTGACCCTGCAGGCCAGGAGCACCGAGACCCCCAGGTTCCATTTGGGAAACACTGACATTCCAAGGAAAACTCTGCTTGCACCGCCTGTGCTTGGCCATGGCACAGCCAGGCACCACAGCAAGCAAGGAACTGTCTGCCAGGGAGCCTCAAACCTACTTTTGGGGTTGAAAGAGTGTTTTTGATGCTGTGTGACTTTGACAAAGCACAGGCAGGAGTTACCTCAGCAGGGGACACCACCACAGACAGGATGACTCCGCTGTCCTCCGCCGTGGCGTTAGGCACTGGCACAAACACGGGCTCTGACGGGTAGGATCCCTCCTCCTTCCACATCTGGCAAGCACAGGGACATTTGGATGAGTTCCAGGGACATTTGGATGAGTTTCAGGAACATTTGGATGAGTTTCAGGAATATTTGCATGAGTTTCAGGATCATTATGGATAAGTTTCATTTCATCAATAGTTGTCTACTACAGGGAGCAGAGTTGTGAGTGAGAGTGCTCCTCACAAAGGCACTTGGAAATGTTCTGGGCTCCATGAAATTTGGAGTTCAAGCTTTTAATTAATTCCTTTGATTGCAGGAGCAGGATGGTGCCACYCTCTGCCCTTTGGTGAGCGTGCCAYGTKCACAAGGCACCCGCTGAGGGATGATATTGGGAATCTCAGCCCAAAAGCCCTCCAGAAAGTGACACAACTCCAAACCCAGCTCAGTGGAAGGACTGGACACTCCGACATCAGCTCACCTTGAAATCCTTGGTCTCCACATCCACCTTGATCAAGGAATCTCCCACCAAGTGCCCGAAGCCGCAGCCGTAGAAGTAGCGGTACCTCCTGCCGTTGTAGCGGCYGTAGTTGATCTGGGGGAACTCCAGGCCCCCAACCTTCTCAAATCCCTCAGGGTGGAGATTTTCATGTGTGCACCAGACCTGGGAGAAATGAGAATTCCTGACCAGTCCCACCCACCACACCAGGGCACAGTCAAGAAGGGTTTAAGGCTCTGCATAAAAATTTATTTTTTTTTTTTTGTTTCAGTACCCACCTTCCCATCTGCGTCCTTCACAGCCCTTGCCAGGGAATGGGGCAGTGGGTTCAGGTTTTTCCCCACGGGGGTGTCTGAATCCACGTCCAGAGGGAGAACAAAGCGGCGAGGGAAAGCTCTGGGGACTGCAGCATAAACCTGTCACAGACACAGAGAGTTGTGGGGATGGATAGAGGAGAGATATTTCAGCCTAAATTAACTTTTGGGGAACAACTCTGAAGTTTTAGACAGCCCTGGATTATTATTCATCTTTTTCCTTATGTGTTTGATCAAGTTCTGGTGAGGTAAACCACACAATGGAAAGAAGAAGTTCTCTGCACATTCCAGTAATTTACAGTAAAAACCAAAAAGAACGAGAATGAAAAGGGTCAGCATCACTCTTACAGTAATTAATGCTGAGCTGGGTATGCAAATCAGCTCATTATCTCYGAATCCAGCAGTGGCACATGCCTTGCACTAGATTTTTTTCGGTTAGAACAGATTTCTATTGCTCTACATCACTCTCTGAAGAAGCAGGAGAGCTCTGTGCCTCAGCTCAGTGCCTGCAGGGTTCTCTCCATGCTCAGAGATCCTTGGATTCACATTTGGCAGTCCAGGGGAAGGGGAAGRATGGATTTCCTTGGRGAGCACAMTGCACATMRCAGGASAGCARTAACTCCCCCAAAAAGCCACCAAAKCTCTGCTCCAACCAAGCTCAGAACCCACCCAATTCCCATCCATTAAACCTTCTCAATCAAACAGATGACAACAACACTATTTTGCTGTTTTACTTCACCCTGCAGCTCAACAGTTACATGTGAAACTCCGCTTAAATCACACCTGTTAATCCTGAAACCCATTTTTTCTGCTTCGTGTAACCTGGCTGAGGAACTGTGCCAGACAAAAAACAGGTTGGTGAGCAGGCAAAAACGCTGAGCTCGGTTTGGGGGGAGGAAACACAGCATGCCCAGACATGCTGGAGCAGTGGGGTTTGAGGTTSTGGGCTGAAATGACTCCTCTGTGTGTGAAATGGGGCGCTGATGTCACTCGGCAGCAGAGAACGTGGGTGGTGAAAGCACAGCCCCGCTGCTGACACAGGACACCCTCGGCCACGTCAGCCTCCAGCTGGGCTGTGCTCGGAGAAGGATGGAAAAAGAGCTGGGATTAGCACCCTGCTGTACTTGGATATGCGCCAAAAATACTCGGGAAAGCCCAGAATAAATGGCCAAGGAAAGCAGAAGCCGTGGGACAGAGCTGGGCTCGTTTCAGCTGGAGCTGAGCGGGTTCCAGRCAGCCCAGGACACACAGAGAGAGGAAATCCAGAGCTGTGTGAACACACAGCAACCCCTGAGCACGCCAGGTTYCCAATAACCACATCTTCAGGGCCAGAAAGTGCAAGCACCCCGCTTTTCCCATGTGTGACCCATGCAAAACCATGCCCTTCCTGTGGCCTGAAAGGGGCTTTTCACAGAGCTGGACACAGGAAATGGTTTTTTATGAGAACGTGCTGCTGTGGGGAGCACGTTCTGTGGAGGGGGACCCCAGGGAGAACCCCAGGGAGGGGGTTCTGTGGTGGCTGTGATTTTCATAAAAACTGAAATTTTCAGAAAAATCCTTTTCTGAAGCAATGCCTTAAAGAACAGGGCTCCTTTCCCCATTTAGAAGCCGTRCCAGAACTTACTTTGAGCAAATTTTTTGGGGAAAATTGTGTGAGGTGGGGATAAGGATAATGGATGTTGTTAAACCCAAGATTTTAAACCAGAAGTACGTTCTGCCAGGTTGTGCAGCTCTGTGTCACACATCAGTGGGAATTCTCTACAGGGAGAGATTTAAGAGGAAAAAAAGCATCAAGAGATGATGATTTCAGTTTTTATGGAGTTGTGGTSCTGCTGTCCCCACGGTGTTTTCCACTCCACGAAGCTGCTGCAGGAGAAYAACTGAACCCTGGGGTTTGAGCAGATCCTGGGGAGCAGAGCAGGGATCTCACCTGGTCCAGCCCTTCCCCRCTCCTCCTCAGGTTCTGCAGGGTGTACAGGGCCAGGCTGGTGCCATCGTCCTGGCAGCACAGATCCAGCACCACGCAGCCCCGCTCCTCGAAAGCGTTGATTTGGTGGAAGGTGACGAAGGGTTTGGAGCACCACTGCCCTGGCAGCGCCTGCAGGRAGCACAGGACAGGCTCAGAGCTCCCTGCAGAGCTCCCAGCCACTCTCTCCATCCCATTTCATCCCACACTCATTGCCTTCTGTCCCTGTGCTGCTGCAAAAAAGCCAGGAAGGAGCAAAAACAGGAGAAAACCCAAAATATCCAGCAGCGCCTTGCTGTGCATCTTGCCAAGGTTCTGATATTTTTATACCACACAGCATTTGGGACCTGCATTTCAGCCCTTGTGCTGAGGTCTCACAAAGCCCAAACTGCTCCTTTCTGCCTGTTCTTTTAGACCTGGCAAATAAATGAATGAATAGAGAGGAAAATGCGTGAAGAAATCCCATTTCTAACAAATCCATCCCCCTGTTTTAAAGCCTTTACTGCTGTAACTTCAGGATTGATTCACAAACCACCTGTGGCTGCTGCGTGGCACTTTTGGGATCTCAAATTCCAGATCAAAAACTCTCCTACCTCCCCAGTGTGCTTGTTCACCACGTGGAAGTAGGTGTTGTGCTGAGGCTCCCAATTTATCCCATCAAAAATGGCTTTTCCACGGAGTTTGGAGGTGATGATCTTCAGCAGGTTCAGCCTGAGGGGCTGCTCGATGAAAATGATGTAGTTCTCAGTCATTCCTGAGGACAGAAGGAAGGAACATCACCCAAATAYGAGGTGAGGAAATGCCTCAAAGGCAGGGAGAGCTGGGCATCCCTTGTGCCCACCCTGTGCCCACATCCCCGGGGTTTGGGGTGCACTCTCACCAAAGCTGTGGTAGTAGGATGGCTTTGCCCTGTCCCTGGGGGGGATGGAGCAGAGCACTTGGGCTCCTTCCAGCATGTCCCCAGGGCTGGAGCCCTGTGGGGGCACCCTGATGATGTTGTAGCTGGACCCTGGAAAAGAGAAAAGGAGTTCAAACCTCTCTGAGGTGTTCAAAGCCCTGAGGCTGTTCAGTCCTAAAAGCAAGCTCAGGCTCTGCTCCCTGAGAAAGCTTGGGATCACCTCTCCTAAACTGAGCAGAAACCCAGCAGGCAGCAAAACATTCAACACWGGATTATCTAAAGGAAATTATTTTTTTTAAAAATGAAGCTTGAAAGGAAACAGCAGGATCTCCTCAGTGTGGGAGAATGCCAGCTCTGTCTGCAGRGCTGTCCTACAAAAACAGGAGCAGGAGGAAAACCAAGCTCATGGGAAATGAAAGCCTTGAGCTTCGGTGATGCTCTTTTAATGAATGTGAGCATATGAGCATGAAAAGAATAAAGGTAATCTGCAGTTTGGGGTATGCAGCTGAAAAAAAAAACCTGGGCATTGCTGAGGCAAAAAGGAAATGAAAACGGCAAGAATGAAAAATGATCAAAACGRGGAATATGTGGAGTGAGCCTGAGGGATCAGAGTAAAGGGCAGGGGCTGTTTCCAAGCTCTGGAAAAGGAGGATTTCACACAGCTGACAGGACTGATAGGAACGAGATCCTATCAAGATGCTCAGAGTTCTGAGGAGAAGACAAATATCCCAAAAATTCAGTTTTGCTGTAAGACAGCCAGGCTATTGGAATAAAATCCATCTTCCCCCCTGCAAAACCCCTCATGGTGCTCACCAAAARCCAATTATTGTAAGGGAAAAACACATGGCTAATGGGTACGTTTCAGATGAGGCTTCAGCACTCAATGGGACCTAAAAAAATCCTTCTCCTGTTTTCCAGCAAAGCTCAGGAGAGGAAGARGAGAMTCTGMTGGGTGTTCCCAGGCCWAAGGCAGAAGCATCTGAACCTAAATGCTGAGGGAAGTTTATGGSACAGACTCAGAAACAGCAATTTCAGGGGCTCTTTGGGTGTTTGTCCTTGAAGCAGCACCAAAAGCTGTCCTGCACACCCTGCCCCAAAAGCCAGGCCTGGCCAGGCCCTCCTTACCRTGCTTGCCATAGGAATTGCCCATGTTGTAGGTTGTCCCATCAGACTCATAGTGGGGATGAGCAGTGGCCCCATTGACTGCGATGAACTTGCTCCAATCCACCTGYAAATGCCAGAGATTTTCAGTCAGGGCAGAACTTTCCCAAGGGTTTTGGGGAGGTCTGAGGAAGAGGAGCAGAATTTATTCATTGTTAATCATGTGGATGTGGAYTCCAGCCTTCATTCTGCCTGGAGTCTTCCTGAAATCCTTGAAAATTAAGGATATTCCTCAATGAGTAAAGCAGGACTGACAGCAATGAGCATTCCTTGGAAACCATGAATATCCCTGACATTATGGGAATGTTGCCCATAATAAGCACAGATGTGTGAAGAAACAGTCACTACCCCAAAAAATCACCAAATTTTCTGTCACCAAAAGCTTGGAAAACCAGGTCTTATTAAGGCATCTCAAACTGGAGAGTTTAAATGTGCAATCACCCCTTCCATTCCTCCACTTAGCTAAAAAAAATTTCAGTCTGCATGTAAAAAAGCAGCTTAAGGGGATTTTTGTTTRTTTTAATGACAAGGTGATTCAGCAGAGCTGAACCTAGAAATCCCCACGTGTGTTTTGATGGCTGCGTTCTGGTTCACAAACAGATGGCAAATCACCCAGCTCTGTTGGGAGCTGTGCTTTGTACACAGCTCATTCCTGACTCACTCTGACCCTGGAGCGAGGGAGGCACTCCTGGAATGGCTCCCTCGAGGGCTGAGGGTGCTCTGAGCTGGCATTTTGTGGTGTCAAACTGATTTAGGGAGGGCAGGATCCTCCCTGTCCAGCCCAAATCCCCCTTAAGTGCATGGCCAGGGGGACTCGTGGCTTGTGCTGTCCTTTCACAGATCCTTTTCTGTCACCTCCTGGCAGAGGATGCAGAGGGAAAGACTTTTCTGATGTTTTGGTCATTTTCCAGCAGGGTAGAAAATCAAGTGGCAGCTGAACCAACCCTTTGCAGCAGAGATTTCAGYCAAGACTTTGAGGGGCGGCTTTGGAGCGTGTGAAGCTTGGGGTGTAAAAGACAGAAAAAGCAGCAGATGTGAAAGCGAAGCACCAGGGACGAGGGCAGATGGGAGATCTGCAGGGGTAACTTTTTCTTACCCACCAGAAAAAGCTGTTTCCTGCTCTGCTGAGACAAGCCCAGGCGTGCAGGGAGAGCAGAGCAGAAATGCCAGCTGTGCCCAGTTGGGCACTGACAGCATCCCCACCCCAGAGCTGCCCTGCTGCAGCACGAACTGCTCAGGCACTCAGGCATGAACACACACTGCTGGTCCAGACAAATTCCTTTGGAATCTGATCCCTTTCTGCTGCTCTTAAAGCCAGCAAGGTGTGATTTTCCACCATCCATACCCCAGCTCCCGGCTCCCCACACCTTTTCCTTCGTTTCCAGCGTTTCTGGGTCCACCTTGTGCATGAAGATGTTCTCGTTGCTGACGTAGTAATCCCCTTTGTACAACACATAGTTCACGTTGGCATTGTCGCTGGGCTCTGGAACAGAAATCCAGGAGTTGTGCACAGCTCTGTGCAGCTCATGTCACATTATGGCAAGTTAGACGTGTTTAAACAAATAAACCCATTTGCGGTGACATTAATCCCCGTGTGATTGATTGGAAATATCTCGCTAATCTACCAAGGGAAACCGTCTGTGCAGGTGAAGCCGGGTTAAAGGGACAAGGACAGCATTGCTGGGGCTGGGGAAGGCAGCTGGGGGTTGTGGAGAGGTCTGGAATATTCTGAGGGAGCTGGGGTGGGGATTTGGGGAGTTTCACTGTGGGTTTGAGCACTGTGGGCAAGGCTGGATGCTGTGGCAGAGGGGAAACAAGAGCAGAGGGTGAGCACAGCATGAGCAAACATTTCCAACTTCAGCTCTGCTCTGCTCTGCTCTGCTCTGCTCTGCTCTGCTCTGCTCTGAGTGGGGAACACTTTGCTCGTGTTTAAGCCTCTTTTTTCCCTGACGTACAAAGGATCCTACAGGTCCTGGAAGTTCCGTTCCTGTGCAAGGCCATCCCTCACCCTACTCCATAATCTCCTGCCCCTTTAGCCCAGGAAGGGAGGGATTAGCCCACTTACCCTACAAGCTTAGCAAGGCAAGGTGTTCTAAGGGCAAAGCTGGCTCTCAGGTAGAACATCAGGGTGTAATGCTCATTACCAGCACTGCACAGGATGTTCTTTTGGGGAGAGATTTCTGTGGGAAATTTGTGACAAGATCTGGGATTGAGCGAGCTGAGGAGGCGTTGAAACCTCAAACTGTGCCTCCCCCAGCTAAGGCTGCCACCAATTTGCATAATTTTTGTGTTTGGGTCATATTCTGAGAAAAGAAAAAAAGYGGGCTCACAGAAAGTCTGTCAGACTTCCTCGTGCCTCCCTTCCCACCTAACCACAAGTTCCTCCAGGAAAATCTCAGAGCGTTTCTCATTTTTTTACACAACCCCTCTTACGTGGCGGCTCAAAGCGGGACAGGAAGCGCCCAAAGATGCTTTTGCAGGGGTCTGGCATGGCCAAGGTGCCRAATTCCGAGGCCACAATGCGGTTGTGCTGGCTGTTGGTCAGGTAGGAGCTGCTCTGCAGGAACCTGCTCCGGTAGGTGACAGTGCCATGGGCCAGCTGGAACTGGTGCAGCAAGGCCATGCCATCGAACCAGTGGTTAAACCTTCCAGGAGAGAGAAATRGGAGATAAACATGAGGAGTTGGGCATTATGGGATGCTCTGTAGTGCTTTTTTACATTTATTTTTGTTGGCAAAAACCGATTCCCAGATCCCCTGAAAAATTCAAGAGGTACAGCTTTGTTTGGGGAAACACCTTGAATAAAACAAAGCAAATGGATTTGCAGCGGTGGGATGTGAAGAGTGAAAATGCAGTAAGATTTTTTTGTGCAGGTAAATCACCCACTCCTGCACAGGGAATAGAGTTTGTGCTGTACTGTACAACAATAACAGAAATTATCACTGCCAAGCCTTTTAGCTCTCAGCTTCTTGCAGGATGTTATTCTCTCCAAACAAGGAAATTTGTGAGATTTCCAGAAAACCTGCTGGTCTGACTCTGGGAACATGACAAGGACATCAGCTCTGGCCAGCTTGCTGCCATCATTTAGTGTCAGTTATCCAGCATGGTCCATTCCAAGCCATGGGCAGCAGGTCCCTTCTGAAATATTTCCAGATATTATTTTTGAAATAGTGCAGATTTCCTTCTGAATCAACTCACACCACTCAGTGTGACCAACTCTCCAAATTCCTGCCCTGGATTTCAGAGTGCTCAGGGCCAGATTTTTGCTCAGGACACAGGAGCAGAGGTGGGGATGTTTTATTCCCCAGCCCAGCTGCCTCATCCCAGCACTGTGAGTGGGTGAGAGCGTCTCTGACTCAGCAGCTCTGTCCTGGGTGACTTCACACTGCAGCTCCTCTGGCAGTTTCCAAATGAGGGAGCAACTGCTTTCCAAGASTGCCTTCAATATTTCTCTCTTCCCTTACTTAAAAAGAAATTAAGAGATGCTCCAAATAATGGTTAGCGGGGGGTCCCTTTGGCTTCAGGCAGAGCTCAGGCTAGAACCTGAATTAAAAAAATTAAATTAAAACGACTTACTTGTCATTACCAAACTCGAACTTGCCCGGGCCGTTCCTCAGTAGATTTCCATTAATCCATTTGGGAATGTGTCCTTTAATCTTGGCTGGGATGGGCTCGGGTGTCTCTTCCACGCTCTGCACCAAGGGCGAGATGCATTGCAGCCCCCTGGGCCTGTGGCAGAGGGTTTGCTCCTTGGGTGGGCTGGGCAGGTAATTCTTGAAACCTGCAAAGAGAGCAGGGAGAGCAAAAAAGCAGAGAAATGAGATTTGCACCAGAATAAAGTGAAAATTGTAGGGTTTGAGTTTGGACAGCAAGGAGAAGAGCAACTCAGCATCCTTCAAGCAGCAGAATTGTGGTGGATACTCAAGGCAGAGCTCTGGTCCCCCAAAACCCCAAACATCCACTGAAAAARCAGTGGATTTTAATCTACTGTATTTAATCCACCAAGACACCAGTTCTGCAGCCCAAAGRAGGTAACAGAATATAAGATGATAGAAAAGTTGATAACTTTTCTTTTAATTAAAGAAATGCGTATTTGGAATTTATTTTATAAATAACCATGAATAAAAAGAAAAATAAAATAACTACAATCCCCAAAGAATGGAAATCAGGAAGAACACGAATGAAACTGAGTGGAAATACATTGACAGGACCAAAGACACGTACCAGTTTTCCTTGGTAAGGAAACAGGCAATAGCAGAGGAGGATAATTTGTGATGGTTTGGCTGCAGTAACCCCTGTTAGTGCCCGTTCCAGGACAAAAGCCCCAGGGGAGCATGAAGCGATTGGAATGTGCCGGGTGATGTCAGAGATTGGCTCCCATCGCCTGCCTTGCAAAGCCTCATCAACACAAGGATTGTTCCAGCAATCCATTTAGCTGTAGAGGGGGATTTACCGGGGGTGCTGTCCCTCTCCGGGCTGGCACCTGCACAACCTGTCCCTGTCCATC